GTCATTTATCTTGATACTGCATTGATTTTTTTTTAATACTATTTTGTCAATTTTGGGTGAATTACCTGCAAATCTCTGCATAGATAAGGTGCCCCATATGCTGCCAGAAACTGTTAGCAGCAGAGCAGAGAACAAATGTGAGCTTTCAACACCTGGTGAGGTGTTAGACGGTAGCTTGACATAAACCCAATTACCTCGTTATTTCTGCCACAACGATGAGCAATCAAATCTGTTAAAACTGTTGAAATGGAAATTGTCTTCTTAAGGTTTCAGCATCTCATCACTTGGATGGCTGGATCAATTCACAGCTCTACTGCCTACTCTTAAGTAAGGCCACCTTCAGACTTAGGAGAAAATCATAAAAGAAGGCAGTTACCACTCTTTAGTTGTTGAGGGTTTTGGGTTTTGTTTGGTTTTGTTTATTTTCCTGTTTAATTAAGGGTGCCTTTTTTAAAATCACACAACTAAAGGAAGTCTCAGTAACTAGATATTTAACATATCCATACACAGGAATGCAATGCTTTCACAATGAAAGAGCATGCCTTGTTTACACTCCTTTCAGCTGCAATCAGATCTATTTCTGCAAGCAAAGTTTCATGTTCTTAAAACTGGCCATTAAGCAGTCATCTGGCAGTTAACAAATGTTATGTAAGTTATAATTTTTGTTTTAAAATGTATTGCATACATTTTGTTAATACTAGTTACTGAAGGGTAATATAGCTTTGTTTTGCCATCTTTAACTTGTATCTAGCTCAACCATAATGCAAAAGTGCCTCTTGTTCCAACTCTAATCCAATGAAAGTCAATGGGTTCTTCCTAGCTTACCAGTGTGCTTTGAAATTCTTAAAAGCATCTGCTAGGCAGAACTCTGGACTTTTAAAATATTTTGTACTGGAATTGCAAACAGTAAAAATAACATTTTCTTAGTTGACCACAGTTACTATGGGAAGAAGAAGGAAAAAAAGTCTGAAAGAGTTGGAAACATCTCCTTCCACTCAGAGCCTCACAAGAATGTACTGTCACTTGGTATATCCAAGTCATAACATACATCCAGCTCCAAAAGTATCCTTGGGAAGAAACACACGACTGACTCTTGAAGATTAGGTAAATCCTCCCAAGGAGCTATAGCAAGAATATTATTAAATTGGAAGAAATATGATCTGAGCCTAATGGCCAAAGGCTAAAAATGAGAGAAGAAAATTGCCTTCAGACTGGATTGTGATAAACTCCAGTGGGATCTTCTGAAGATGCTGTATATGCAACCATACCTCTCTCAGCAGATACATAGGAGTTGGACCTGTCAGAGAGAGTACATTGTTGTAAAACAGATAAATAGCAAGTCAGCTAAATACATACTTGAAACCTTCAGAACCATGGGGAAGAACTTGGAAAAGAAGAAAAAAACAATAATAATGGAAAAGAATCATCAAGAAGGAAAATTAAATAAACTTAATATTTTCCACAGTTGCAAGATTTTGATGCATTCTTTTACAGAAAACTTTCCAATTGTGAATGCCTATTTACATTAAAGTTGCAAAAGTCAGAATTTCTGAGGCATAGGAAGCCCCGAAATATAGAAGTCCTTGGAGGCCATAAAGGGCTCAGGAGACAAATGGAAATATCTGGCGTCTTCTAGCCACAAAACTTCTGAGCCAAACTTCTATCTTGCCTTCTGAACCCAAAGGGCTAAACAGGCCAGTGCCTTGTTCTGGGGCTCTTGCTATCAGAAGAAAACTGAAACAGCCTCTTGAAGCCATTTAGGCAATGAAACAATCACTGCTGCTTTTAATATCTTCTTGCCCAAGGCAACCAACCTGTTTCGCCTAGCATATATATTGCAGAATTGGCCCTGGCAGCAAAATGCAGTGGGTCAGGCAGTCTCAGTGTCACAAAAACAACGAGAGGAGATAGCACAGCTGCAGAAACCTGCCTGAGGCTCTCTGGCTTACAGGATTTTAAAGGAGTGTTTGCAGCACTGACAGTTATGGGCAGACAGTTTTCCCACACAAAGCCATTAGAAACTGGTGTGTCCTTGGCCAGTCCTGAGCCCCTAAATAGCTTTTGCTGTATCAAGATTAAAGGAAGACAAGGCAGCTGGGGCTAATAAAATGAAAATCAATGCCATTAACAGAGAGAGTAAAAAAGGAAAAAGAATCCAAGCCCTGTAGAAGCTGAAACTTTCAGCTATGTCTCTTGCTGTGTGGAAACAGATTCTATGGTTGTCCAGGTTCTGCTTGGATTTGACCTCAGATTCAGGAGATAAAAAATAGAGACGATGTCTGAATTTCCTGTTTATTAAAAATGCATCATATAGTTTACAGATATGCATCTGTTTTTCTACTGACTACATGGGCTTCAGATCAGACCTTGCACGATATTTTTTAGGATTTGAGACAAGTAGCACCTATGATTAGTGAGGTTATGAAATTTAATTACACATTCTACGACCTACCACAGGTTATGGTATGACAGCACAGACCCACTTCATGGCATCTTCACACCTTTGCAGTCTTTCAGAGCTAATGATGAGATACAGACCAGTAAACTTAATGACAATCAGGAACGTTCCTCTGCATTAGAATGAGATCAGCTTTTCTGTAAAACTTTCAGCCTGTGTCAGCTAGCTCTTTCACATAGAACATACAGTCATTGTTTCTGTTTGGACATAGGCTGTTCATACTGGAGCTACTCCGTTTTGGAGACCAAGACACCTTACTAGTGTATATGCACACCACTCTGAGCCAGTTGGCCTTGGTGCCAAGAAATGTTTCCAGACACACTCACTTTCCTAGTATAGATGCAGCCAATTAGTTCAAATAAATAGAGAGATCTCAGCATTATCACTGGCCTACCGTTGATCTGTTTCATGCATTCACGACTGATGTTTGACATTCAGAAAAACCAATATGAATATCAATGACTGAACACACTCAGTTGAATACGAGGACCTGCACAGGCAAAGATCCACAAATGCGAACCCAAGGCAACATCTCCATTCCTCCTAAACTACTGGCTTTGTGAACCTGAATTAACACTGCATCACAAAGTTGTAAAGGAATAAATACAAACTTAAAAAGACATCTTCATTAACAAAGAAATGGCAACTCATAAAAAATGTTTTTACACATAGCAAGTTATTTGGATTATTCTGTTTTACATAGTAACTTGTTTGTGTACACCAATACATTCTGCTTTATAATTTTGTCTTAATGTGTGAAAATGAACTGTCACATTTCTCCTAGCAATATTCATTTACATACCTATATTTTAATCTCTTTCACAATATTAATTTAGATTGTCATATTATAATCTCTCTTGTTACTCCCCAGCTCCTTTCTAATTACAAAACTGTCCACCTCTTTCCAAAATTTAAAATTAATTATTATCAGGCATTTTCATCTTGGTTCAGTAGAAATAAATTTTCTCCTTTAATGTATTTCTTTTCTTTGTAAGAGCAATGATGATTTATACATCAGACAGGATAGGCATTTGTATGCAGAGCGTTTCAATGGGTCTAATCCGAAAGATTTTTCTTTTCACTTTCTGCTAACAAGGAAAAATCACCTGGACCATCTTGGTTTAGAAACATTTCCCATTTAAGTTGCATTGAGAAAGAACAAGCATCAGATATACAAAAGCATTATGAGGCTGCAGCGTTGTACATTCTGGAAACTCATAAAGAAAATCAGAAACTAAAATACTTTATAAATAAGGTTTTGAGATTAATTTTTGAGAGAATGATGGAGGGCAAGGGAGAACAGTGCTCAGAGAAAAACCAAGCAAAGAGCTGCAGGATATCTGTGTCAGTCCAAGTGTAGAAAATGCCTTGAATTCCCAATTAGCTTAGTAACCAGAGCATGTCGCTAGGACAACAGATTGACTGAATGTCAGCTGGAAAATTATTCCCATAGTGAGTGATTTTGAGACCAACAAGAAAGGACAGAGAAGTCTGCAGGAAAACACTCCTAACCAAAAAAGGTGAGGAAAAGAAAATTGTGAGACCAGGCAAAGATCTATATGGCTTCAGAACCAGAGGAAGTACCAGTGCATTTTAACCTATTAAAGCACTGAAGTGGAAATTTTATTTTACTAGTTCTTCCTCTTACAAGTTGGATAGCATTCCTTAAAACAAAGCCCCTCTCAGTGGCTTAGCTCCCTATTCTCACCTAGGATACACAGCAAATCTGCTTAGCACTTATCTAATGCTGAAAGCATATTTACTCCCAATCCGGAAACAGCAATCTTCAAGCACCAGAATTACACCAGTGGCATTTTATTTTGCATCTAAGGTATTATATTGTTAGAAGGTCATGTTATTCTATTGATAGCATTCTACTTCATATAAAACTCTAAAGATAAATTGAGAGATTAACATACTTGAAAGATCAAGATCTTCAGCAAACAACAGGGACATTACTACCAATTACAAGAGGAATATACTCATTATATTAGGGGTAGAAAAAACATCCCTCTCTGTATAGGGTTTTACAACATTCAGAAATCTTATTTTATCTTCTCATTTCCCTTACAAAGAAGAACGTAAGGCCTAGAATAAAAAAGTACTGGTCTTGATCTTTGCCCATTGAGGGACATATCTTCCCACAAATTGAAACAGATGAAAAGCATTTAATTTTGCCATCTGCAACCAAATCAACCAATTTGATCTAAACCTTGCCCAAGTTAGGGAAAAGGCTTTAATCAGGCTTTGGCTCACTTTCTAAATGTGGCTGAGATGTTTTATAGCTCTTTCCAGAAACCAAACCTTCACTATAAATCAGCACAGCGTATTACCTGCTCAGCTTCGTATATGCACATGTGTTTCCGCAACTTGTTAATAAAAGCTATTCTGCCTTGTTATAAAAGCTAACTCCACATTTTCTTCCTGAATCTTTTCAGAAATAGGCTAAAAGCATAAGAAAATATTTTCCACTTTTTTATTCTCTTCTCATCATTAATTAGTGGAACAAATATATTACCATACTTAAAATACACTCTGGAAATGTGATTTTAATATACTTTATTGAAAAAGTACACAGTTTTAAATTGTTTTCAATGGGACAAAGCAATGGTCACCTCTATCTACCGAGTCCTTTTTTGATGAATCATGACTACCATAAGTCAAATTCACACCTGCATGACTTGCAAAGTAAAAAGATAAATCTTTTTTTCAACATATCTTTAAGAATTTATATCACCAACAGTTTAAAATCATGAAATGCTGATGCTCTGACTATATTTCATGTCCTCTATGTTGCACCATTTCCCAGTTCACAGTTTATCCACGTATTAGCATGCCAATTGAACACATCAGTCAATGTCACCTTGAGAAAATCGTCAATAGCAGAGGAAGAAGAACAAGAGGAGGTTTAGCACTAAGGCCTGAGACACCACCACATTCTCTTGCATTTTCCTAAAGAGAAAAACCAAAGGAAAATAAATACAAACCATGACATTCAATTATGATACATCATTATTTATCAAACTACATAGCCAGAAGAGGATTGGTGCAAACAACAAAACCCATGAACTAAATACACTCAGCAAGTAATACAGGTACACATTTTCATTTGAACAAGTTTAGATTGTAGACTGAAAGTTAGCATGATCAACAAGCATCACATAATCCCCTCCATGCCATATTTTAGGTCTCATTCTACATTGTATTACACCATCAACGGCATGTTACTCCAGAGTAAAACGGATGTCTACGAACATATGCTGTACAAGCCCCTGTAATCACATCCTGGTCTCTATCAGGTCTCCTTGGCACTCTAGAAATAAGAGCACTATGCAGAACACAGAGTAGTAAGTACATGTGGTGATCCCTCCCAAGCCATACTATGCGTAAACATAATGACTACAGCATGACAGTTGAGATGCTGAAGTTAGTTACTGAAAAAAACATTAATAGCACAAAGCTCCCAACCATGTCTAATGAGGAATCTTGTGGTCAGTGCTTGAGCCAGAGTAAGCTCTCAGATATTCCTGGCTGCCAGTCTGTGCTCACATCCTACCACGTTCTTTTGTATGATACAAAATGGTCTACAAAAGCAGCAAGTCAAGACATTGTCTACAGGAGTACTAAAAAGATTTGCAGCACTTACAATGCTACTCACTTCCCCTACCACTGTGTTCTCAGTGTTCAGAATATTTCCTGGTGTTTCATCTTAGCAGATTATTTTTCTATTATTTTTTTAAAGAAATAAAACATCTATCAGAGTCTAAAAGAAAGGAAAAGTAGGTAGAAACTTACTTCAGGGTGAAATCCATGACAAGATTCTGGGCGTCGTCTTATCTTCTGAGATTTTAAACGTTCACATTTAAGGGATTCATTATGTGCAAGGTAGTTAAGGAGAGATCTTCTGATCATTGCATTTTAATGTCCTGAGTTCATGTGAGTGTTTTGAAATGAATATAGTGAAAATCTTTCAGCTCCTTCCTTCCTCTCCATCAAAAACCCAAGGTGATGTGTGTGGTCAACACAACAAAAAGAATCATAGAATCATAGAATGGTTTGGGTTGGAAGGGATCTCAAAGATCATCTAGTTCCAACCCCCCTGCTGCGGGCAGGGACACCCTCCACGAGACCACATTGCCCAAAGCCTCATCCAACCTGGTCTTAAACTTTTCCAGGGATGGGGCCTCCACAACCTCTCAAAAGAAGATAATTCTACTGTTTTCTCCTCGGTGATCCGTAGTTTAGACAGTATCATTTGCACTTAAATTGCTAACCTGTCTTTCCATAATAGGTCTGCAATAAAAGCACACTGCAGGCTACTTTTGATAAATTCCAACTTATGTGAGAAAACAAATCCTGAACTACAGAACAGCACAAAATAAAAAGTGGGGCAACTATAAATCGAGCAATATATTTACGTTGCTAGATTTTTTTATATTTTTGGAAAGCAGGATTCTGAAACATTTTCAATACTCCAGTCCAACCCTAAAATAAAGAGATATCTATATTGTAAGGAGTTTTATAAGTTCCAATATCAGGAGCTCCATTCTCAAAAGGAAATTACTTACTTGGAGCATAATTTGAAAGATCTATCTAAAGATGACCAGCTCTCTGAAGATGACCATGGCCTTATGATACTTAAAGATGCACATAAGTGTGTATGCTTAATACGTACTGGCTGGTTTAAAAAAAAAAAAAAAAAAAAAAAAAGTAGTAGTGAATTCTCCTTGAAAATAAGTAAGAACGCATTCTCAGCTGGCTAATTTCAAACAGCCCCAGCACTTTATAAAGGGTAATGATGCATTCTTAAGTCCTGTAATGCAAGTTTTACATAATAAGAAATTTTTCAATATTTGCATCTTGAATCTCTGACAACTTTGCGAATGAAAGGATATATCTTATTTCTATAGGTGCCATGGTAATTGGTGGAATGGAATCACAGAAGCATTCATTATCTACTACCACCATGAAGAGATTGCTGCTTGGGATTTGCTGGATAACAAAAGACCTGCAAATTAAAAAGAAATCAAATAATGGTGACGTTATCTGTATTTCTGAGCAACAGGGAGTTTTAGGTTTGTTTTTTTTTAACTTGTCAACAACACCTCTATCATAGTCACAAATATCATTGACTTTATATATCATTCTATATCTCCACACCTTGTAGAAGTAGAGGGCCTTGAGCAATGCTTCCCTCAGTTCACAGAATATGGTCATCAGTTTTGAGATGTACATGATGCTGAAAGGTACAGGTGAAGCAGAATGGATAGGCTTATACTGCTGATATGGTAATGCGGGGTCTGGGACACAAATGAATTACCAAGGAGTTTATCAGATTTCTCTTCTTCAGATTTCAGTGCTGAATCTCTGCTCTATTATGCTCTATTATGAATACCTAGCTATGTATTTATGGCCTGGAATTTTTACACATGAAATGGATCTGCTAAAATAATGAAAGTTCTTCCTCAGCCACATAGCGATAACTCACAGTTCCAACCTTAGGCACTACAATTACGTTAGGGCCTTTATTCACTCTGGGTCTTGCTTGAAGCAACGTGAACTACTGAGAAAGATTCTCAGCTTTCATCTGTTCTCTTGAGAGTAATTTTATTACTGAGCCAACAAAACAGAGATTAAGCCTCAAAATCTTCCCTAAGCGAGGAGATTTATTTTAGAATAATGACAACTATATGGTACAAATATGGTGATAACTCAGCACCACATTCAAATCAAGACCAAGTAGGCAACTCAAAAGAAGGGTGAGAAATAAAGACATTGCTTGTAAGAAGGAAAGCACCCAGAGGAGAGCAGGGAAGGATGCTGTGGGCACTATTCAATGATCCACATAGTTACAATAAGCTGAACTCTTAAGCACACACCAAAGAGAAAAGGGGGAGAAGGCAAAGCCAGACACTGTTTAGCCTTTTCTTTGAAATTCAGGACACAATACAAAGGCAGGCTTTAAGGCTCAGACTCAATTCTTGATAAATTTTTAAAACAATCTGTCAGAATTTATATATTGTATCAACAGAATATCTGCCATATCCAATTTCATTGAAATCTGGCAATTCCGGGAATTAGGTGTTTTTCAGTGTGGTATGCTGGTAAATGTACAGAACGTTAAGTGAGGGTTTGAGCACCAAGATGATGTGGAGAGAATATTTTTCCTCAGACATCTTTATTTAAAATACATATTGTCTTACTAAAATAACCCCTTGCTTTTTCCAAAGATCACAGAAGATGAAATAGTGGAGGGGGCAGGGAATATTGAAACCTAGCTTCAGAAAAAAAAATTTGGAAAACTTACCATAAAAATGTTGCCAACGGAAAGATTAAACACTTTTCAGTATTTTTTAAACTTACTGAACCTCCATTAAAATTACACTTAGAGTGATCTGCAATATGTTAGCTTTATGTTTATATGTGAAATATACATTTATGGCATAATGTAAAAGGCTGAACTTTATAAATGTACCTACCAAACAGCTGGAGCATGTAGCAAGACTGACATCATTGTAATGGAGCATCTGTGGCTTTGTGGATTTGTGTGTGGGAGAAATGGGGCCAATAAAAGGAAAGGAGGGAAAATCTTTAACAGACAATAACACCAAAATTGTACTGCATGAATTTCTCAAAACAGTTACAAATAAATCAAACTGTAAAGGACAGGAAAAAAAAGATTAATTTTATTCCCAGAAATTGGCACAATTTGGATTTTGTGCAGTCTGAAACTTCTATTTATTGTATTTTTAAAACTAGCTCAGAAAAGGACCTGAAGGGCATAAAGTGTTCTAACAATTAACCGGATGCTAAATGATTAATTTCTCTTTTTGATGAGAAGGGAGTAATCACTCTTCTGTGCCTGAGACCAAGTCCTTTTGTGATAGCCCCTTTTTGTGGCCCCCAGGTGAACACTGAACCTGGGAGAAAGCAGGTACCATACAGCCAGGCTTAAAGGGGCTATTTCAGGAAAGGTGGGCACATTGCCCATTTCGTTTCATCTTTCACCCACTTCTCTGGGGTGGCATGAGGGCTGTACAGTATAGGCTACTGCTTCCCCAGAGAAGAGACGGGGGGGAAAAAGTAAAAAAAAATAAGTTGGGAATTTTTCCTATCATTTCATCAAGCTGGAATGAAAAATGACAGCACTTTAACCCAGGAGAAAGTTTCCACTACAGAACTATGATGCTGAGTACATTACTATATTGCTTCTCTGACAAAATATTCAAAAACTACAAAGGCTTGCAGGAATTAAGTGATATAGAAAATTTTGCTAGACCTGGTAGTTTGTGGAATGCAGTATATGCATGGATTGAGGGAAATTATGAATTAAAGGAACTGCAAAGAGCAATATATTAGGTTAAGTGAAAAAAACTTTTCTACTTCAAGAGTTATATGATAGATATCAACTAACTACATTGGTTCAGTTTACCAAGCAGTGAATATTCTTACAAATCTACAGTCTGTTTATTTATTTCAGATGTTTGTGAAGTCTAAGCTTATGGTGACTACCACAGAATATGTCACTGTCACCAAAACAGCCATAAAATATGAAGCTTTTGGCTCACTGCAGCATTTTTTTTCCCATAGTGCATAACAATATCTTAACTAATATCTTGCAAAGTGGAACAACTAGCTTCTCATCCACCATAGAGGAGGTAAATTAAAAAGAAAATGTTATCTTCCACAAGCAGTAGATGAATGTTTTCCCTTTCACAATTCTCAAACATAATCCTGAAATGAACTTGTAAAGGCAAGTGCGCGTCCTCACCAGTCATTGACTTGTGAGGTCACAGGCAAAGGATTAACGTATCAACAAGTGAAGACAGAAGATTGAAGACAGAGGTTGAGTTGAGCAAATAATTAAGGACAAAAACCCCTCTATGTCCAATTTAGCTTTCTTTTCTATTAATAGAATGCGCACAAGCAAATTATAATTGTTTCAGCTGCTGTAATTTAAGATCATTTTGCAGTCATGAGGTATTCTTACCCTCCCTAGATCAATGGCAAAGAAGTTTCTGCCAGTCATAACCATCGCGGTTGCTCTGTGACTATTCAGGTAATTCGCATGGCACTGCTTCCATGCCCAAACTGGATAAAGCACACAATCATCCCAGCAGCAGGTCATCTCTCTGAGTTCAACTTCCAGTTTCCCTGGTGACATGCACATGCATCTTTGAAATTCATTTTGAGTGAATGTTCATGCCAGTAAAGCTCAGGAACTGAACATTCGCAGCAAACAAAAGGTGCATAACCACAGTCAGCACACAGTCTTTCAAATACTGACATATTCCACCAAAATGTTTCATCATGTACACCAAGATTCAGTGGCAAGGGACAAAAATCTCTAGCAAAAGAGCTTCCACGACTGCAGTGGGAAATAAAGTTAGTTGCTGACAAAGTAACGAAAATGGTCTTGTCTTTTTAAGTGAGCTCCACCGCGAGTCTCTGAAGTTTGTATCACACTAAGCGTTTCTGAACACCTGCTGGCTTAGGCTGTCGCTTGTGTCACTGGCAATATGGGAACCAACCTCAGGGACAGACTAAGGGGGTTTATTGAACTTTCTTCCTGGTTTAACAATCAAAAGACAGTCTATGTTTAACAGCCTATGTTTAATATTTATGGAGAATGTTTCATGTTTAAAGGGTAAAGCTCTTTTTGTGTTAAGTAATGTAAATCTTTTGATTTGAACCTTTTTCCTTTTCACCAGTACCATCACCATCATTTGATAGTGACAGCACAGAAAAAGCCTTGCATACGTATATATAAAATGGAATAAACTGCTGGGGCTCCTGTTATGTTGAAGCCACACTGAGTCAATAAGAACCTTATTAATAATTTCTCCTCCATCTTTCATCCAACTGAGGAACTAGTTGGGTTTATTTGATGTGCAGGTTCAGAGGCTTAAAATGGGCCTGAACACAAACTGCTTCTTCCTGTTGTGGGGAAGGTGAGGAAGGAAGAAATTTAATACTTGAAAGGGTTAGAGAGAGGAGGAGGAAATCTAGCCATGCCAAACTATTTTGTTAATGAAGAAAAAAATAAGAACAGAGAGTGAGTCTGCAAGAAAGTCTGTATTTTGAGTCAGAGCATTACACAACACATTTCTCATGTTGCTCACACTTTATCTGTTTCTTTCTAACTTATTTCAGTATTGGCCCATAAAAAAAATCTGCATAAATATCATACAAATTGATTTGGAAAAAAAAAAAACAAAACAGCTTCATGTTTTACTTGGAAATAGTAAATGTTTCCTAAAAAAATGCAAGTATTTATTAGTCTGTTCCTTGAAAATTAATTTTTCATTGTGGAATGAAATAGGAAAAGACTAGGAATTCAAGCACTGCTGCATTCATAATGATATTTGCTATAGTCATGCTTATGAAGGCATGATAAGAAAACACACTTTTAATGTCTGGTGACTACACGACTCTTCCCACAGAGAACCAGTTCTTTCTAATTTCTTAAGATAGCCTAGAATTAGGAAAGCATCATAATAGGTCTGTAATACAGAGCTTGGAGGGCAGTCACACCAGCTGCCGTTATGCATGTAACTCAGGTTCCTACATTAGAAGGGAAATATCTCCAAGTCTGAGCAGAGTACATGCAGAGACACAGACTACTCAAGGATAATTCAGAGCAGGAGCTTGGCTTTGGTGATGTGAATCACTTTCTGCGGGAGGGAGGGTCTTTCTCTCCCTTTAATGGCTGCATAGCAATCCTGCAGACAAACGCCTCCGAACTGGGTGAAATGCGAAGCGTAAAGCTAAGTGCAACCTACAGCACCTGTTCTAAAAGAGCCAGCACACTACATTCAAACTTGGGTTTTTTACCAATTTGAATCTCTTCCTTTTGCTTGTGTATTTAAAAGTTTTCCTATAGTTACATATTATATTGATATAATAATTTCTTCCACAGACTATGTCTTAAAAAGACCAAACCACCACCTAATTTGAAAAAAAATCAGCTCTTTTTCTTATTATAAGAATTACTTTCTCCTGTAAGGA